CCCAAAGTATGTAGAATGATGGCCTTTTTAGGTATTTATGGGCCATGAGTTTACCTAGTTTGGGGTTTTTAAGTATCATGGGGAACTAAAGGCTAACCTTTCGGCTTTTATTGGGGTTATATAGGGGTTATACTACCCCAAGAAGGTTAAAGGTTACCTACTCTACTACTAGGTTTAGGATTCCCAGATCAAGGGCCTCTATACTGGATACTCTCCGGACTCTTGCTTACGGCTTTGAGGCTTCAAGGTTGTTGGGTTTGGGAAGGGCTCCAGGTGTCGGGAAGCAAAAGTCCGAGGCCACAAGATGCAGTTCTTGGGCGGAGTGGGGCCTGGCTGCCTGGCTTCTTCACCAGTGACACTTGTGCGTAGCTCCGTCCCTCCCAACACCCAGGCGGCGAAGTGAGCGATGCTCCTGTAGCATGGTGCTTGTTCCTGCTACACCCTAAACCCAAAGACGGTGGGAGCAAGCAGCAAGAGAGCACCTCTTTTTCCCTATGTCACATCCTTGCATAAGCGCAACATCCGAAGGCAGTACTCGAACCTGAGCAAGTTGGAAGTCTTCATCATAGGCTGTTTTGTTGCGGGTGTTTAAGGTTTCGGCCGTTTGGTGGTCGGTCAAGGTGCCCTTTTCTCTCATGCGAAAGGGAAATCAACCAGAACCTACTGAAGGCTACTGTTGGAATATATAGGGCCATATAGGGGTTTCAGAGTATGATATATAAGCTAAGCTGCATCAGGAAGTGAAGGGGGCGAGTATTGTCACCTACTCCGCCCCTGACATGAATTGCACAGGTTTATGTGTCTTGTGCAATGCTGAACTTGCGAAGCCTGAAACACAGGAACCTGAAATACAAACTGCCGATGAAGGACAGAAAGCCCTCAGACAAAACGAACTGGACGCCTCAACCGAGTTGACATCTCGAGTCTGCAACACCCATGCCGGTGCTGTTCTTTGCCGGGGGCTTCTTTCAAGCTGCCCAATGTACCCTTTTTTGAACGACTTCTCTCAGAAGCGCCTCCAGCAGTATGATTTCATGAGCCTTCCTGGCTTTTCAAGAGAGGCAGAGGCCCAATGAACACTACCTGGGCATAGGGTTTAGGGTGCCCGCTTTATTGAACTGCTTCTCGCCGAGATGCACTGGCCGAACTTCTTCTTCTCTGCCGGGGTTCTGGTCTGGATGATATTCGCGGATCAATCCTAAGCTCCCGGACTCTTCTAAGTACAGGGTTTCTGTTTAGGCTCATCCCAGGACTATGAAGTAAGCTAGACCCTAGACCCAAGACCTGAAACCCGAATATAGGGGCCTTAGTAATTAGAACTAGAATGGGGTTTTGGGGACCATTATACTATGTTTATAAGAAGGAACCCCCCAACATAGTACAGGTAATTTTTAAGGCCCCTATACTCAACCCTCTTATAGACCCCTTTAACAAGAACCCCCAAAATAGTATAGGTACTTATCAAGACCCCGATACTAAGCCACCAGATACTAAAGAACCATAGAAAACCCTTATACTAGTCCTTATGGACCCCTTTAACAGGAACCCAGGAAAATGGTATAGGTAAGCATTATAAGGCCCCTATACTACACCTCATAATACCCACTATAGTAGTCCTTGTAGACCCCTTTAACAGGAAAATCATTAAGGCCCCGATACTAATCTCCGTTGATTGGGGGGGGGAGGCTTTAAAGGGGCTCACCCGATCGGCCGGCATTGAGCTGAACCTTGCGTAGATATCTCGTGCAGACATGGCAGTGTTCTGCATCCTACGTGAACCCCCAAGAACCCACCTTTCTCAAGGACTTATATAAAGAAACCATAAGAGGAAGGAGCCCTAAAGGGTAGGTTATTTGGGGTCCAACTATGGCTGCCCGGGTCAGAGGTCGGAGCTCTAACATGGTTCCTGCATCACCCACTGAGCATGTAAACCAAGCAAGGTTCAAACGATTCCGCTTGAACTTGCACACGCATACCTGCTTCAGCTCATTGGTTGACTCATGCCAATTCATCCTGCAAGTATCCGCCTCTACCTATACCTTCAACACCCACAGACACGCCCGAACCTCAACTTGCATGAACTCACCTCCGAACGCCCACAACCCAAGCCGAGCCCAACTCTTGAGGGTGTACTGCTTACAAACGAGCAAAGAGCCACGCCAGAACCCAGAACTTCCCAGAACCTACAACAACAATGCATCGATCTCAAGACTCCTCCGGAACCCCAGAGGAGTCCCGGAATGCCTCATACTCCTACACCCCAAGACAAGACCTGGGCCCCTAAAGCTTGCCTCGTTGTGCAAGGAGCTCCCAACGCATGTCGAGTATATCTTAGTAAAACGAATACATAAGAGATGACATATGTAATGATGCTTGCCTTCTCTTTAGTATGTATTATATTTGCATGTTTGTAGGTATGTATACTTGTACATACATACATACATGCATACATGCATGCATGCATACACAACCAATATGAGACGAACCCCCTCGAACCCATGGAAGGCTTTAGACAGACCCTCAAACCTGCGCCCAGGCTGCGGTTCAGCAGCTTCCTTCGCCCGAAGGAATCTCCATCTCGGTCCTTGGGATGTGGATCCAGAGACTCCAATATCCCTTAATTAAGGAAATTCCTTAAAATCCTATTAGGGATCCTACTATAATTTAAGGAATATTCCTTAATTAAGGGATGTTGTGTGATGGTGCATGATAGTACAGTTTAGAATATAGTCTAGTAGTACAGTACTGTATATAATGCTAAAGACGATGGTCCCAGTTTGGGGATTCATTAATGCAGGGGCTTTGCTAATTAGAGTAGGGTTTTGGGTGGAATAATGTATTATACTATGGTTATGACAATAAGTTAGGAATCCTTTTTGGGGAAGTGGTTTGTGACCTCCTGGTCCCGTTTGGGGCTCCACCTCCGACGGAAGGTGGTACTCCTGGGTTTAACAGAATCGTAGACGTAGTCGCAGTCATGGCACCTTGTGGAGGGATATTGTATGGATACTACGGGCATGACACTGAAGCCGGTGCTGCGGGAGATGCTCGTGACCTTGAATGATGACGCTCTTGGTGCCGGGCTTTGCGACTCGGATGACTCGTGGAAGGGACTCTTCGCGTTAGGCTAGGGCTTGCTGGGCTTTGTTGAGGGGGTTGGAGTTTGATTTCTTTTTTGAAATCCGCAGTTCCCTGAAACGCTCCCGACCCGTAACTTCCGTCACAACCTGACGGCGAAAACCATTTCGCCTTCCGGGTTCCATGGGCGATGACACTTGTTCTAACAAGCCCGCTGGTGGCTCTGACGTGAAAAGCGGATGTGTATGGAGCCTGATGACGGGATCGCGTGACGCTTGATACTAGACGAGTTCAACATGAAACACGGACATATTGCTGCAGGCGACAATTTGGGCCAAGATCGACTGTCCGGGCCAAGGTGCGGCACGAATGAGCTCCTTCTGAATGTCGCGGATGAGCAAGGTTGCAGCTATGTCCCCGGAAACATACCTCGAGCGATGCAAGCGCTCATGAGACCGTCTAGTTATGTCGTATGAAAGCAGAAGGACCCTTCCATGAAAAGCATTGCACAAAGCCTGTTCTTCACACTTCAACTCTTTGGAAGCCTCAAGGGCTCTCACTCGGAAACGGGGTCGGGATTGTGCGGAGCTCCTCTAAGTCTACCAGCACGGCCCTCAGACTTTCGCTACTCGTAGGCTTGCACCGACATGTGAAGATCGCCAGGCACTGAGGCTACTCCTCATGCTGCTCTTTATACTAACAATTACAGTTGTGCCGGCCCCAAAGGATTGCCTTAGCTAGGTTCATCTTCAATATATGCTTTTCCGGGGGAGATAACACCTCACACCATGAAACGCAGCCCGGTCTCTCTAGCTGGTCATCGACGTCCCCAAGTATGTCGTCCTTGGTGTCACCCTCCTGAGCCACATCCACCGCGAGCTCGACGACCGGCAAGCCCAACTACACTTGATGAAGCCTTAAACAAGTAACAAGAGATTTAGTGTTGCGGATACTAGCAAATACAAGCCCCGCCCTGCCGAGAAATGGGCAACGTAACCGCGAACGCAGCACCACAACACCTCATGGTGCAGTCCGCCCGGTGTCTTCTCCACCAACGTCGTCGAATTGCGAAAATAAGTATACCAGCACATACACATGCAGGCAAACGTGTGTACATACAATCATACCGTCATACATACGTGGCATACATGCACAAACTTGCGTGCATACTTACATACATGCATACATGATGCAGGGCTGTTGCCCTCCCCTGAGCTGATTGTTACCAGGTGGCAGCGTTCCCCTTTCCCGGGTATCACATCCGGATCATTGCATCGACACCGCGTCCCTCCTCCCCTCTGGTTTGCGTGGTGGGGTTCTGTCCCGATTTGCGGTGATGACCCTCGCTCACTCACGCATGCGCGCAGGCATGCACTACCTAGACACCAACCTTGCATCTGCTCAGCCATGCACAGACGCAGCAAAGAAGAGTGGTTTTGGGCCTGCCAGAAATCATCGTCGTCGTCATGGTAGTGAACGCCTCAGAATTCCGGGGCAAACGTCGCAGAGTCACCTGTCGTGTCATGGCTCACAACCCCCTCGAGCCAGGTTGACTGCTCAGCCCGTCGCCCACTTTCCGTGGATCTCGCGGCAAGTGGAATTCACCTTTGCCAACCCGGGACATGGATTGGCGAATGCACAGAGGCCCTTATCAAACAAGACTACAGGCACGGGATGGCACGGGTCACTCATACGGTTCTCGTGTCGTACCTAGGATATCTGATGCAAGCTGGCTCTGCATCGACTGCTGCGGCATGAACGGATCCTGGTTGCATCGCTGTGCTCCGGGATGGGTACCGCTCTACAAAAACTGGAATTTAGCTGCAGGCCTGTGGCTTCAGCACGCCTCATTTTGCGGGGAACTTCTTCGACATTGTTGGGCTCCAGCTGGCTGAGATGGGGGTTTATACCGACGAACATGCTCAACAGGCAATCCAAAGAACCTCCGAGCAAGGAGCCCTGGGGGCCCTCACCCAGAAACTAGCAAGAACTGGTTTCAACCCCGACTTGCATGAAGCTTCTTGAGGCTTCGGGCCCTTTCACACCACAGCTTTTGACGCCATCGGCCACCAGGCCACCACCGTCGAAGAGGTAGGTGGCCTCACGCAGGATGTCCGACGCGCTGACGAGAAGCGCTTCGGCCTTCTCCCGGTGGGGATACCTCGATGTTCTGAGGCACCATGAACACCCAGAGAGCCCAATACCCCTTAATTAGGGGATATATTTTGAATTATAACGGGATTCATATTATGAGTTAAGCTATCTTCCTTAATGAAGGGATATTGGAGTTTCTGAACAGACGCATCTCGACCAATACGGGAGTTTCCAAAAATTAGGGGTACCTTATTTGAGGGTCCTTATAATAAGGATCCTACAATTCAGGGTACTGTATTAGGGTCCCCCATTTTCGAAACTCCCGTACTTTCTCGGTTGCATTGGCTTCTGGTGGCAACGGTCGCTAGTTCCTTGTGCCGTCACGAGGAAAATCAGACTTTGAAACGAAAGCGTCCAGTACCTGCTCAAGCAAGTCTCAGAGAGCTGAATGCAAGTCTGTCCGTCCTCAAGGCTGCATTGCCAGAAAGCCGCTACATGCCCAAAGTAGGTACACCATGCGCAAGGATGCCCCCAAGATCCTCAACCTCTAGCAAAGCAATAACAAGAGCAAGTGCATGCAATAGTGCGTTAAGGGTACCGAACCACTACTGAGTGTAGAGATCGAAATTTATAATGAAAATTATGGTAACGATGAAACACGAGTAGCCGTGCTGCTGGAGCTGAATGTTGTGGTCGATGGAGTTGATCGCCACCTCAGCCACCGCTACCGCAGAGCATGTCATAAACATGGCTTCGTCTCGTTACAGTACTTAGTACTTCTTTCCTTCGCGCTACCGATAACACCAGCACCAACCACCACCGGACGGCGACGAAGACGATGGCGACGACAGAGAAGACTGCGACTACTGCTAGTAGCTGGTAGCTAGCTACTGCCGGCGGCGGCCGACTACCCCCAACAGCGACTTACCACATGCCCACTTACAAGGCGTAATGTACTACATACTACATACCGCATAGCACGAACTAGTCACTTCTTGCTACAGCTGGCTGCTTACCGCTCGCGTTCACTACTTGCTATACCACCAACGGCAGACTGCGAACTACTGACTACTAGCTATCTGTCAGTGGTGGCGGTGGTGGTGGTGGTGGTGGTGGTGGTGGTGGTGGTGGTGGTGGTGGTGGTGCTGGTACTGGTGCTGGTGCTGGTGCTGGTGGCCCGGGTGCTGCTGGCATGATCGTGCTGTTGTTGCCTCTGCTGCAGCAATTGTTGGTCTTGATCTTTTTCTTGGCGCTGCTGCTGCTCTTCCGATGTCAGTCTTTTGGGCTTCCATCGCAGATAATGTCGCCAGTCTTGCTGTTCTCTACCCTGCGAGGCTGTGCAGTGGGGTTGCAGGTGGACGGCTTGGTGCGAGCTGTGGTCGGACCGGATCCAAAGGTTGCGCTGGACCCGTTCTACACAGCAGTTGCGGGCAAAAGTCCCGGGCTGGCAGCCGTGGCAAACAGGTTTCAGACCCCGAGGCAAAGCAAGAAAGCAACAAGACATGTTGGAGACCGAGCGCGGAGCATCAAGTCCTCAGCTCAACAGCAGCTGCGGGCCAACAGGGTGCATAGTGTCCTACAGGGGCCTTAATATTTGGAGTAGGGTTTGGGGCCCATTATACTAGGTTTAGAATAGTAACCCCGAAAACAGTATTGATAATCATTAAGGCCCCTAATGGGCTGTATGAGATTGTGTGTGAGGCACCGTGAGACGGCGGTCGCTCGGTTCAATCGAGGAACGAATGCGGCACTGATGCGGCCAAAACCAGAAACTACATCACATGCTTGGGCTCTAGCGAAACCCTAGGCGATTCGGAAGCAAGCTTCGATCGCCGAAAAGCTGTCATCTCTATAGCCCTAAAGGAGGCGGAACACCGCAGAAAACGAGTCTTCGCTTTCTGTGCCCAGGCCCAAAGATCGCACTCGCGCTGCCTAATGTACGACGTTGTGGTCGTCGCAGTAGTTATTTTTGTTATTATCATTATTATTATTTGTAGAAGTAGTATTGGTAGTAGTAGTCGTCGTCGTCCTGGCAGTAGTAGTAGTAGTAGTAGTAGTAGTAGTAGTAGTAGTAGTAGTAGTAGTAGTAGTAGTAGTAGTAGTAGTAGCACTAGCACTAGCACTAGCACTAGCACTAGCACTAGCACTAGCACTAGCACTAGCACTAGCACTAGCACTAGCAGTAGCAGTAGCAGTAGCAGTAGCAGTAGCAGTAGCAGTAGGGGTCGGAGTATGCCATGTACTCGGCCGTTGTTCCTTGACTGGCTTGGCTGCTTTGTCCGGGAGTTTCAGAAAACAAGAGACCCAGTATGTCAGTATGAATTGATCACCCCCCTTCTAGTAGAATCCGGCTTTCATATCATAAGGACCCCAAACCAAAATAGGCTACCGATAACCTTAATTGAACACTGTCTCGTTCTCAAGAACAAACAACAGTAGAGGCAGTGTCACTTGTATTATCCTCCCCAGCAATAAGCCTCCACGATCCGTGAAGGCAGGTTTGGAGTACTTGCTACTCCTTCTTCTACATCTACCTGTATCTCGGCGTCATAATTGCCCAAGCCATGTCGGCTGGGCCTCTCCTTATCCTCTAAAACATGCCCTCTCGGCAGAAATCCAACTCTTGCATGAAAGACTCCCAAACCCTCCAAATTGTCAGCCCTTCAATCTAAGCCCCATTAGACCCTAAACACCGAAATTGAATTTTACGAGACTTCACAACCCTAGGCACAAAAGCCTAAACCCTAAACCGTGTACCCTAACCCCTGAACCCTATACCTGAACCCAGCCACCACCAAAAAGCAGCATTGCAAGATGGGCTTCCTCTCGCCACGTGCTCCAGGGATGCGCTCGCCACGCTGGCCTTGTCGCCTGGGCCCATCAGGGTGTCCACGTCCTTCTACTTGGAGGTTCATGGTTAGTTATAAGTAGGGTTACAAGTAGGATAACCAGTTATAACCCATATTAAGGGACTTATAAATAACCCTACTTATTAAGTAGGATAACCAGAGTTGTAATCCATATGAAGGGACTTATAACCCTACTTATAACTACCCATGAACCTCCAAGCATCCTTGCTTCAGATTAGGCCTCCACACTCTTTAAATACAGGGGACTTAGTAAATAATTAGAATAGGGTTTCGGGGGCCCATTGTACTATAATATTACGATCATGAACCACCAAATAGTATAGGTGAATATTGCCCGTTGTACTATAAATATACTAAGATACACTAGGAACCCACTCTTCTTGCGCTCTCACAACTCGGACAACTCCACACTCTTCTTAGGGCTTCGACTTCTTTGGCACTCGCACCCGGTGTCGGGTTGAGGGCTTTCTGTGTGTCCAAAGAGCAGGGTTGATCTGATAAATTTCCGCCACTCCGTTCAAGCTAGGCCTACTTGTCGGGTATCATGGGGAACTAACGGTTAACCTTTTTGGCTATATAGGGATTATATAGGGGCTATACTGCCCAAACAGGGTTAAAGGTTACCTACTCTACTACTAGGTAGGAAATGCTGAATACTAGTACAACTGTCCAACCCCAAAATTGCCTCTCCCCTTGTCGCTCACCTCCATCAGAGGCCTGAATGCATCACAGGGATCACCCCAGCGCTTGAAAACCTCAAATATTAGGTCGGTGCCGCACTATACTAAGGACCCAAAAAGGGGCCGTAATTTTGACAACCACCCACATGTCTTGATAGGCCGTCCTCCCCAGACTAACGAGGCCGAGAAACGGAAGTGCTCGGGAGTCGGGGAGATGGGCTCCTGGGCAAGAAGGGACTCCCGGGAAGATCTAGAAAGTAGATCCCCTAATTTTTGGGCCCCTATACTACTAAGGGTACTTTATAGGAACCCCCCATCAAGGGATCTACTTTTTGGATCCTTCCGGGGGTCTGGGTTGTCGAAGGTACTCAACTGCAGCTCATAAGCTCACTCTTGTTACAGACCCTGCTGGGTTCGAACACTGTACTACATTCAGGAAGTTCGGGTACAGCAAGCTCTATGGATTCAGAGTAGGGGGCTTGAGATACTTATGTTTAGGATGCGGATTCCGGCGCTTCAGGCTTTCACTAGCTTGAGGCAGACTTGACAATCTTTTAGGGTTGAGGGCTTAGGGTCTTGACCTCCTAAAAGGGTCTACCTCGGACTTGGAGGTTCATGGGTAGTTATGAGTCCCTTAATATGGGTTATAACTATAGTTATCCTGCTTATAACTAACCATGAACCTCCAAGCAACCTCAGATCCGGCATACTTTTCTCGAAACCCTAAAGCCAAAGCTAAAAACCCTGAATCACGGAGAGCGTCAGCTACAAGGAACACGAGGTCGATAAGGCCGGAGAAGCCTGGCATAGCTGAAGGCTGTAAATTCAAAAATTCACGGGCTCAAGCTTTTGGGCAAAAGATAAAACTAGTAACCATGTAAAAGCAATGATAAACTTTCCGAACGTTACACAGATGCAGCAAAGGCAACAACACAGGCGAGAAAAAAAAACAGAATGGAATCCCAAAACCTAAAGCCTAAACCGTCAGCCGTCGCCTGCAGCCGGCCAGTATTCTTGGCTGGCCCGTGAGGCCACCTGCCCATGACGTTTGCGACAATATTACTTGGAGGTTCACGGGTAGATATAAGTGGAGTTATAAGTCCCTTAATATATATATATATATATATATATATATATATATACTTCTAACGAAACATGAACCTCCAAGTAGGAAATATAATATGGGGACAAGAACGTGTTTCTTCCGTGACCAGTCTTCCGGGTGACTCAAGCTCAATGCTGCGGAGCCTTTTTTTATCGGCTTTGCAGGTTCCGGGTCGGCGGATTTCGGCAAGAAGCCCGCCGCGAACGGCGCGAAAGAGCCTCATGAGAGCTCGCCCACCAGTCCCTCGAGTTCTTCTTCACGACCGACGATGCTTTCTTCAAGATCTTCGAGGACCTGCTTGCTGCCTTTCAAGCCGGTAAAGACCTGCGGGGGAGCTTCCTGATCACCCCTTTTTTCCTCCTAGTAAGGATCACAAAAAAAACCTCCAATTAAGCCCCCCTTGTCTTGCGGATCCTCCTAGTAACGATACCGAACAATCCACCCCCAAAAACTCCCACCACCGGACCTAAACCCTAAACCCTAAACTCCCACCTTGAGGGTGATGACATCCCGGGACATGGCCTTGCAGTTTTCGGAGCTCGCCTCCTCCGGATCCTCGCAGACGGCCGCTTCCCCCTGCAAGTCAATGATCTTCCGAGCTTCAAACTGCATGTCCTAGGACAGAGGGTTTAGGATTTGGGGTTTTAGGGTTTAGGGGCTTAAGTTTGTGGGTTTATGGGTTTAGGATTTACGCTCTCGCAACTCGGACACAGTAGATTTAGGGTTCAGGGTTTAGAGTGTAGGAGCTTCAAAACTGCATGTCCTCGGCGGCCATCAGGCTGGAGCGAACGTAGTCCTCGTGCTCCTGTGCCTCTAGGATGCCCAGTACGCTAGGAATAAAAAGGGCTCCCTTTTTGATATTGGGTAACTCTATAAGGAACCGAGGACTACACGAAGGCAATAAGGGTACTGCTGGGAATCCTAGGCCTCCTCTTGGCTCAGCTGCTCGCGGCAATGGATGGGAAGCTCGATCTGCTCTGTCTCAGGATCATGTACACGCTCCAACAAGGACACGCCGAAGAACTTCTTGAACTTCTCCTTCCAAGGCAACCCCTGCTCACTGGTATCCTCCTCCATTTCATCCGGGATATTCGGCTGCGACCAATCCCACATATCTATGTCAGCGTCCTCAGCTGCAAAGCTCAATCTGTTAAATGTCAAAGCCTAAGCCTAGCATCTTAAGCCCTTTTGCTGCAGGCTTGCACGCAAGGACGCAAAGGCTGAACCCGAAGCTCTGTGTCCCTACGATAAGAACAAGCACTCACAACTAGCAAGCCGGATGTGCTTCTGTTGGGCTTCTCCGATAGTTTGGGGCTAATTGGGCCGAATGTATAAGGGCCTGGAAGTGCTCTTCGGGCTCATCGATGGTGGTCGTCGTAGTGATCTTTTCGGAGTCTGCATGCTCTTCGCTCTCCATGGCATTCATATAGGTTGAGTGGGTCTTCTCTTCGACTGTGGTGGTCTTGTCGGAGTCGGTATGCTCTTCGGTCTCCATGGCCGTCGGAGTCCCTTCGGAGTCTGTATGCTCTTCGGTCTCTATGGCCGTCGTAGTTCCTTCGGAGTCCGTATGCTCTTCGGTCTCCTCGGTCTTGGTGTTTCTGGGGACGATACTCTCTTCGGTCTCTGCCTCCGTGGTGCTGGTCGTGGCGGTCGTTGACGTTTGTCCGGTCGTGGCAGTCGTGGCGGTCGTTGAAGTTCGTCTGGTCGTGGCAGTCGTGGCGGTCGTTGAAGTTCGTCTGGTCGTGGCAGTCGTGGCGGTCGTTGAAGTTCGTCTGGTCGTGGCAGTCGTGGCGGTCGTTGAAGTTCGTCTGGTCGTGGCAGTCGGGGTGGTCGTTGAAGTCCGTCTGGTCGTTCCAAGAGATCCGTGCAATTGTGTGCCCCCTTTGGAACTCCTGAGTTGCATCAGACCCAAAAGTCTGAGTTCCAAGCCTGACATCGTGTTCAAACCCGAACGAGGCTTGCGTGAAGGCCAACGACCTCTGAAGAAGTCCGAATAATCCCACAACCTCAAGGTCCTACACTCTAGACCCCAACTGCAGACTGCAGCTGCCTGAAGAGACATCTATAACTTCGGGCTACTTGGAGGTTCATGGGTATATTTATAAGTAGGGTTATAAGTAGGATAAATATAGTTCTAATAATCTAGATTAAGGAAGATGAAACGACTTATAAGTAAATACCCACCAATCATCAAGTAATTCATGCGAAGGTGAGAACCCTGCCTTGACTCTGGCCTATTCGACGCAGTCGTGCGAGAGTGGTGATGGCAGTGTGCCCCTGTAAACTCCTTCGCCAGCTCCCGAGCTTTGTTTCCTGGGCTCTTGCTAAGGAATTTAAATGAAACTACCATAATCAAGATTCAGGGCTAGGGGCTAGGGTACGGTGAGCATTTTAAGGCAAAGTCCCTAACAAGAACCCAGTTTCCAGTAAGCACAATCGGGTTGAAGTCGACACGCGTGCCGGAGGAGAAGTCGACCACCATAATGCCTGAGGCTGTTCTTGAAGGCACCCAAAACTTGCAACGATATAGTGCTAGATGCGACTATTCTTATACGTGTATACGATTACGGATGATGAAACTATTAAACAAATGTTGTCCATGAACAGCCAAGACACCACCAAGATTACTCTGGCCACCTCCATTGAACATCTGCGGATCCCACGCCGGAGGTCGCAAAGGCCGGTTGGTTCTCGTGTCGACACAAAACGTCCCAATGTAGTCTGCTGCTGAGAAGACTGTTTGCACAGCGTATTCCTGGGCAGAATTTTCAAGCTCCCAGAAGGATTTATGAAAAAGCTAACTCTGACAAGTGCAGGTGGATGTTGACACTTTCCCACCATGCCACCTAGGTTCTCGTTTTCTGTCAAGCACAATGGTGCTAATCCCCTTCGCCATTTGCTCATGACCTCGGAGTAGCCTCTTCAAGCCGTTCGAATACAAGAACTGGAGGGCGACATCCACCCCGAACCTGTAGATGCCTGCGCCTCGAGGAGATGGCGCCCATCCATCTCCCTCGTGGGGGTCGGACCATACCATCTCCGACCCAACATCGTAACTCAAGCAACGATTGAAGTCACCTCGTTGGTTGGAGCATGCCCTCACGAACTTTGGGGAGATGCCCCCGTGAGTGGCCATGAACATCCCTTTCGCGACCGCAACAAAGGGTAGCTTCGAAAACAGCGTGTTGAATTGACCCCACAGTGCAGATTTCGGAGCATACATCGAGCGATGGCCATAGTGACCGGGGAGAGAGTTTTGCCTGTCTAGCTTGTACTCAACCTCCTTGTTAAAGCCGTAATATTCATTTGTTCTCGCTTCCTCGTGGTTGCCTTGGAGCAGGATTATGCCGGAAGGGCACAATGCCTTGTAGGCGAACAGGAGCAGGACGATCTCCACGCTTCGTTCGCCGCGATCTACGTAGTCGCCCATGAAGATGTACTGAATCTTTGGGTCGCAGATGAAAAGCTTCGATGCGGGAAGAAGGGAGAACCTGGATATCTGCAACTGTTCATGGAGGTGACGGAGGAAGGCGAGCAAGTTGAACAGCTGTCCGTGCAAGTCTCCCAGGACCACCGTTGCCCCCGTTGCTGTCACCGTGCGACTGAAGCCCTCGGCATACAGCTCCGGTTCGAGCACCTCCCGGTTGAAGGCTGTCAGGAAAGCCGTGATGTCCTTCGGATGCATTCCAGGCACTTCGCCGTACCTGTCTATCTTCGTCAATGCCGTTTGCTCCATGCTTTGGATGTATAAGGCCGCCGTCGCCTTGAGGTTGTATGTGGAGGTCGAGGCTGACCGGATGGAATGGACGCATCCCATGCAGGCCGAGCAGGCCAAGGCAAGAAGCTTCAACGCCATGGCGTCAAACAATTTAGGTTTCGCAGGCAGACGCGAGTAGTAGAATTAGTAGAACAATCAAAGTCAAGCACATCGAGCTTGAGGCAGATGCGGCAAGAAGGTCCAAACTTTGACAGCTCTCAGACGACATCACCCTCCCGTTTTTTCTTGCCGAAGCCTCCGTGATTACCAAGGGCAGCACATACCGCGTCGTGATAGCATCTGAGAATGCTAGCTGGCACAGTATCGATATCGTTTTCAATCTCAAGCTGTGACTTGGCATCATGATTGAACCCCGTTTCGGGAGGATCTAGGACGGCAAACGATGCCGCAGACATGCTAGGCGGAGGACTGATACAAGTACGGTGCGCTTTTTTCAGAATAAAGCCACCTCCAGGCGTCGCCAAGCACGATGCCAGGCTCCATCCATCAGCGCTGCCCCAGCCTCCTCGCAAGAGAGTTGGGGGCTTTCAGCAACAGGGGGTACCTGATGTAGGACTTCTTATAATAAGGCTCCAAAGGTCCGAGCATCCTTTAAACGTCCATTCCGAGACGTTGTTTTGCTGTGGTGCACTGCTCTTGTACATGGCCTGATGAGGCAGTGGCTTGTGATCATTGCTGCCATTTTTGCAGATTTGCTCCATTTTTCCTCCAGAGCCAACCATTCCTCACTAAGGAACATGCCTGAAGCATCTGAACTAAAGTAACTAAAGGGCTTAAAATTATTATATATACCTGAATCCTGCTTTAGGGGTCTGAGGTTAAAGAGTGCAGGGTTTGAAGGTTGTGGGGGCTCAGGGCTGGATCGCAATCACTGTGTATACAGTGTATACAGCGATGCACTACGCAGTTTGCAACTCTGTCGTGGTCATGGCCAAAATCTCCGCCGACGCCGGGGACTCGAAATAGCATCCCAAAACAAGGTACCGTAGATCATGTGCCAACATGCAAATCTACGATGGCCTTTCCGTTTGCAGATCCTGTACGAGGAGCCATCCGGCATCTGATTTGGGAGTTTCCTACACACATAACCCCGATCCCCACAACCCACGGGCACACGATTCGGGAGTTTAGAGTGCATGACCTTTATGGATCTGGACTCTAGGGTCTAGGGTTGTTTTTGCCTTGGACCTTTAGGTCTTCCACCAAAATTGGACAGTTTACAATGACAGCATGGAGCATGCAACCAAGACTCAAGATACGGATAGAAGCGAGCACAACAGTCAGTCTGGCTCTTGCTCATGCTCAGTTTTGCGTGCTACGTAAAAGTAATGCTCTCCGGGACTCCGACTCAAGACCTCAGGATAAAAACCGTAGTAGCGATACCAATCCGCGGAACTGCTGTTTTTCCCGCTAGCAGTGCGCAAAACTCCTTGCGAAAGGACAGCCCAGCCGCGGCACCCTTCGAGTGACGCCGGGGCACAAGCTCGCAGAGACCCTGTTGCCTCCAAGGCAGCGGTCTCCACGTGCTGCCTTCTCCAAATGGGCTGCTTTGGTACAAACCTGTCAACAGTGTCCCCTACGGTATCCTCCGACACAGAAAAATTGAGAAATACCAAGGAAGCCTCTCGAGAAGCTAACAACTGCACCAGGCAAGCTCGTAGAAGCTGAAGATAGGGCCTCAAGACTTCGTTAGATATGATAAGGCCGATGCAGTTCGAGCAGGATTTGGGGGATCTACACCTCTCTGCCTACCGATCTATCTACTTGTCTATCTATGTCGCTCTATCCGCCACGCCTATCCTTCTTTCCCTCGGTGTCTCTATTTCTCGATCTGTCCATCTCCATCGTTCTCCATCTAAGAAGTTGACATCTCTGTCTATCTATCGATCTATCGTCTATCTACCGATCTTCTATGTATCTTTCCCTCTATCCTGGGCTTTTAAGCAACCAGGGAGAAAAACTAATTACAACCTTTCATTTCGTAATGGTGCCTTTAAGAAAAAAAGTACTACAGTATGATACTCCAAAGCCCAGTATCCTTCTATGCGAGGAACCCTAAGGGATAGCATTGCACCGTAGCGTTCTTCAGGCCACTACTTGGAGCTTCATTCGGTAGTATAAGTAGGGCCCTAAGTCCCTCAATATGGGTTATAACTGTAGTTATCCTACTTATAGCCCTACTTAGAACTAATTAAAGTAGCCAAAATAATGCCCAATACCTGTAACAGGCCCTTATTCTACATACTTTGGGGGTCCCAGTACTTATAACCCATGAACCTCCAAGCATGTTCATCTTCGACGGCCTCGGCTTTGCATCCACGCGCACCCTACGCGCAACGTGGAAGCCGAAACTCGGCCTTGAAATCTTGGGAGCCTGAGAACATGACAATACGTATTTCCTTTATGATTAGAACAGTGTGTTGGGGCCCATTAAACCAGGAATCAAAATCAGGAATACCCAAAATAGCATTGGTAATATATTTCGGCCCCTGTAGTGCAGGGCCCGGATATCCCCAGTATGAGAATGCAAACGGAGCACCAATGTAGAAGTAATTTCTGAAGGGGGGCAAGTGGGGACCCTCTTTGCGAGTACGGCGCTAAAACGGGAACCCTGCTAAAGGGCCTAAATAATTTGAATAGGGCTTTGGGGCCCCTTATAATATAGTTATGATAAGGAGTTCCCGAAACAGTAGTGGTAATTATTTCGGCTCCTATAGTATTTGCATGTTCTGAAACTCCCGCTTTGGCGAAGCATCACGAGCTCAACAGCACCTGGCAGCACTCCCGGCTCGTAGCCAGAAGGCACCCTTGCTCCCCAAAGAGCCGTTCAAAGGGAAGATGCTTTGGGGAGGGATGAAGCGCCAGATTCCTGCTGTCGAGGTCTATGGAACTCTCGACCTACGAATCCGGATCGAGTAAGATTTCAGAGGGCAGTGATTGTCTGCTCTGTGCGGCCTTAAACGCTTGAAGCGTTCTAACATCCATTGAATCAACGCATGGTGGAATTCAATGATTTTGAGCTTGCGACCTGCTTAGCCATTCATTCATGGCCCCCTACCGATGCGCAAACTCGGTCCGATGCACAAAAATGAGCAGGGCCCTTAGCTTTCGTGTGCAATCTTTTGAAAACTGCTACATTAAAGTCATCTTAGAAGATCCTTCATCTCCGCAAGTCAAAGGGCCTCTCCTGACCTCGCGTCCTGCGAAGATGAAGCGGATTCCTGGGCCTTGCCCTGAAACTCAGAAAATGTACGGCAGCTTCCGGCTAGACTCACGCATAGGCTAGGCTCTCCGATTTATGAAGCAAGCTCCAAGCATTCGGAGGAACGGGCTGGACCTCCTTCACACAGTCTGACACAGTCCTCAGCTGCTGTGCAGGGACACGAGGGTGTAGCAACGAGAACAGCCAGAAGCATCGACTTAGCCTTGCCGCAGGTAAACCCATAGTAGTTCCTTCCTTTGGGGTTACCTAATAGGAACTACTATGAGCTATGGGGCCTATGGGTAGCGATTAACAACAGAAAAGCGGACCACGGGAGCGGCTGAGCCCGGAACCGCATCGCAAGGAACCAGTGTGTGCACGAGCCGAACCGAACCGGAAGGTAGGCTTCGTGTTTTTCTGTTTGAACCCTCGTGTCTTTTAACCAAAGGCATCCGGAGTTTAGGGTTTAACTTTGCCGGAAAAAGGGCAGCCAGTGACCGTAAACCCTTGATGGAATACTACGTCCACAACTCAAGTCAAATTGCAATACCTGGACCCCAAAGTATGTAGAAGAACGGCCTTTTAGGGGTATTGGGGCCATTCTTTTACCTACTTTAGGGGGGGGTTAGGTACACAGAGCCCGGCCTATGAGCAGATGAAGCCCAGGAGTCGGCCCGAAATTTGAGGCTTCCGAAAAAATGGGGGGACCCTAATATAGTACCCTGAATAGTAGGTTAGTAGGGTCCCCATTATAAGGACCCAAAGTAAGGTACCCCTATTGTCGGAAGCTCCCATATAAGGAAATCAAAACTAAGCAACCCTAAAACGCTAAACTTTGCAAAATCCAGGTATGGTTTGGGGTTCATCGTTCCAGCCAAGAGAAGCCCAAACCATGAAAAGTGAGGGGGGGCTTCAAAAGGACTGGAAATGGGCTCGACCAAAGTATGTAGAATGATGGCCTTTTATAGGTGTTGCGCCAATATTTTACCCACTTTGGGGGGGCTAGGTCGGCTAGGTACTGCCAGGCCCTATCTTTACGACAGGTCTCAACAAACTCTTCGTAACGGTGTATGAATATTCAAACTGTACCCTACCAGCAAGCTGGGTTCGGCTCGTAAGGGGCGCCTTTTGTATCTTGCCAGTGGGCCATTGTGTTGTTTTTTCATATGGCTTTCATGGACAAAGAGGGCACCTATGTTTACGGGCCCAGGCCAAGCAGCAGGCAACTCAGGGCCAAAAAAGTATCTAGTTTCAATGGGGCGTGCGGCACGCAGCGTGCACATGCACAGCAAAGTACCTTTCCGCCTGTCTGAAGCCGGTTGGGTTCAAGAAAGGCTCGAATTGCCTTCTCACGCTGCGGTTCCCTGGCAGGCAGCAGCAAACAGGTGCCTTTGTTGAGGCCCGGATCCCTGGCAAGCAAGGGCAAGCAGTTATCAACAAGTCAAGCAGCCACGGCAGCTATGATTACCAGCCGTAGGAAGCTGTCAAGGTCTGTCCTCTATACACTACCTATAGTCTCTATTGTAGTTCCTTTTTGGGGTTACCTTTCGGATCCTTAATATATAATTGGTTAAACCAGAAAAGGAACTACAATGGAGACTGTAGGTACACCAGAAATCTCCAAAGCCTCTAGGAAAGGCAGGCATCCCGCCGAGAAAGGTCGGCCAGCTGTCCATCTCCAGCCCAGTGCGCTCATAAAGACCTTTAGGGCTTTACGTGTTTCGGTTTTTTCTTTGTTTTGAACTCCCTTTTCCTCCTTGCTACAGTCGGAATACCTGTTAGGTTGTGTTTTTTTCCCTCCTGTTAGGTTGTGTTTAGGGTTTACGGTTTAGGGTTTAAAGACCTCAACGGCTTCTGGGCTTCTGAGACATGCAACTCCTTAATCGCCCACTCATAGTATATAATTCTAGCATGACAACAAACCAGTCCCAGTAAGTAGGAGTTTCGGCATGGATCTGATATGTCTCAAAGCTCAAGGAGAATCGGAACTTCTCCTATTCCGCTAGGATTCATGTCTCTTGCTACTGAAACCCATCATCATGCTACACTTCGCGGCCACCCTTCTCAATCGGATCAGCAGTCGATGCTGCACCCCAGGCTAACATCATCTGGGAGTTTCCGAAAATAGGGGACCCTAATATGGTACCCTAACAAGTAGTAGGATGATTGTTATAAGGACCCCAAAATAAGGCATCCCTATTTTCGGAAACTCCCATCTAGTGCAAGCAAACCAGCAGCAAAACTGGTTCACACTAATCCGCAAACGATCCCTATTTACCTGACGCGAAGGCGCGGAGGCATGATAGGTAAGTATAAATAGGACAATTACTTCCAACCGGCAGAATCAGAATCTCATTTGGGGTAATATTCCAACCCCTGCTGTGGGATTTTGGCCCCCCAGCGGATAATGAATCGAGAAGACTCAGACAACCCCTGGCTCTAACCCTCCGCGGGCGAGAGGTTTACGCTCTCGCAACTCGGACGTGCGGGGTTTAGGGCCTTAGGGTTCAGGGTTTAGGGCCTTAGGGTTCAGGGTTTAGGGCCTTAGGGTTCAGGCTGGAGGGGGTATTCTCAGAGCCCCCCTTGCATTATGCGCCTCTTTGTCTGCAAAAGCTCGACCGTTTGGAGACTGACAACATGACGTAGCACCCAAGAGGCCCCTTAAGCTCTCAACCCCAAACCGACTCAAGCCCCCCAAAACCGAAGGAACACCAAAACCCGAAAACAACTATTGATGACAATAATACTAATCACTACTAATATAATGTGATACTACTAACAAGAATACAATTTTTTGTTGCAGCCAAAGGGGCCCTTCTCGAAGTTGTTCCCCAGGATACTCACCTCGCGAGACGGAGAGCTTCCACGGCTCTTCCACTCGCTTCGCTGACTGCGTCGCACTGAAGGCCCAGAGACTCCAATATCCCTTAATTAAGGACTATTCCTTAAATCGTATTAGGGATTTTACTATAAGGGATATTGGAGTCTCTGGGGGGATTCCAAGCAACAACCGAGGGTACTGTATTAGGGACTACTACTCTGACCCATATGGTATGGCCCTAAACCCTTAACAGCGACAACGAGGTTGCAAGCCCAGGCGAAATCGTCTCCCTCGGCACAAGACATGCATCAGCTGATCTGACGATGTGATTTGGGCTTGTCAGCCGCTATTTCTCGCCCAATTGGAATGTCTCGTCATTGAATTCGTCATCTTATCGTACGACACAACTCGAACTCGCCATGTGCACAAAAACCCTTCAGCGAGGGCTTGGAAGTTTCCGACATGCTGTAGCTCTTAACACCAAAAACCCTATCTGGTTAAGGACGTCCATTCTTGCGTCCCCCCGCCCCGCCACGGCGCTGGTTGCTGTCCCAATCAACCATCGTTACTTCCTGTTCTTCCTCTGGGTTCCTGTTCTTGTGCTTGTCGTGGATTTCGCGAACATATGCTGTACTTCAATGGGGTCCGAATGAAAGCAGCCACATGTTCTTGCTCTCGATCTTCTGAAGTGTGTACCATGCGTTCAGGAAACCTTCCAAGAAGTGTCCCAGGACCCCAAAACTTGCTCAGAAGCTGTCGACAAACAGGGTAGGAGCTCAAACGAATGAGGATGTTTAGGGTTTAGGGGACGCCAGAAGCTGTCTGAAAGTTCCGTACAAACCATTTTCGAAGAAGCCCAAGCTCAAGCTTTCACAATGACCTCATATATCAGGCTTGTTCAAACCCTGAGCTTCTAGCGCTTTGAAGCCCTAACCCCCGAAACCATCTTCTAGTGGCTCTGATCAGACTGAGTTTCTTTGACATACCTAGGTCACAAGCTGCAGGTGTAGTCCTTCATGAATTGTCTAGGGCTTCGGGTCAAGATGATGTGCGCACTCTCCTCACGTAGAATTCAGGAGCTACGAGTTCTGGCGTCGGACAGAAATGGGAGAGTGCAAACCGGATCACTACAAAGTCTCGGTGCAAAAAGGAGCCCCCCTTTTCCAGCCGCAAGTAAACTGCCGCGGAACCGAGTAGCCCGTACAGGAATTCCCACAAACAGGAGACTCGGGTGAACTACTGTTGATGATATAAATCCTGCATTACCTTAAGGAATTATGGCATATTCCTTATTATGGGTAATGCAGGATTTATATCATCAACCGTAGATATCCTTTCCTTCAAGGGAGAAGAAGAGTAAAGAGCTTTAGAGCAGGTCTTTAAGTAGGCCTTCATCGGCGAAAATCCTAATTTACCCTCGACCCATACTATCATGCTAGACCCTAGACCCCCAAAAATCACGAAGTCCGGTATTCACAACTTGTGCCTTGTCCTGGAGCATCTTCGGAAGAAGTGGTCGGACAAGACCGTAGAAGGTGGCTAGGAAGCTGGGGGCGCGCACCACCTGACCAGCCGAGCTCGGAACTTGGGGTTTCATGGAGGGGGTTTGGGAGTTTTCTATACCCTAAACCCGCTTTATGATGGGGTTACATGGTTCGGTGACTGGAGACTTCCAGTGGTAGATCAAAGCCGCAAGCCTTTCATACAGGGATTCGGGGATCTACATGGGGCCATTGGAAGGCCTTTTTGTGCCATTTTCTGGAGTTTGCAACAGGATGAAGCTGCAGCATCACCAGAGTTTCTTGTCTTGAAACGTGTGCATCCCTCATTTTGTGGAGGTTCAAGGCTTTAGGAAGAAATCTCTGAGAAGTACATGTGAGCGGTAGGGGCCTGCTCACGTCAGAGTTTTGCGACGTGTGTCAAAAAAAGCGCGGGGGGGGGGGGGGTCGGGTTCCGACAATTCTGGGCCGGGTTCGGCTAGGGCCCGCGGAAGATCTTAGAGCCCTACACAGAGACCCAATACGACTTCGAAGACCTCCGCAAAGAAGACCTCCTAACCCTAAACCGTTCCTACTTCGGGGCAGAGCAGAATTGCAGCCCAAAAGCGGTCACAGAAGCAGAGATTTCTGGAAAGTACGAGGTGGCCATGATGATGATCCTCGGCTTCAAGGAAGTGTACCATAGAATAGACTTATAAACCCCCAAAACAAGTAACAAAAATCGCCCAATACCTATAAAAGACCGTTATTCTACATGATTTGGGGGTCCAGGTAAGGCTAGAAGATGATACTCCCACCCCCAAAGTTGACCTAAAAATCAAAACCCTAAACGCTGAATAAAGCCTACCTAAACCCAAACGCTGAATCCTTCGGAGGGCGGAGCTTGCCCTTTGCATGTCTTGGAGACCATAAACTTATCAACCCTATAGTAGTCCTTAGCCCTAAGCCTACAACAATGCCGACTGAACCGTATATAGAAAGAAAGGCCTAGAATCTTCCGGAGGATTGGGATGTAGCGCACGTTCTCGAAGCCGAACCCCTTGCAGTCGATAATGACCCGTGCTTTTAGCAGCTTCTTGCCTCGGTGTTGAAAAACATGGGAGTATAGGAAGCTTCAATTTTTGTAGGCTTCCAGCGCCTTTGAGGTATTCAGGGCGATTTAGGGTTTGTAAACTGCAATGGCAGGATGCAAAACTCGGCATGAGCACAACGTCGGAAGAACTCATCCAAAGATGTTCTCTCGCTGGCACTGGCACTCTTGACAGCGTATGTCTCGAGCGCTGTTTTGGACAGCGGAATCGCGCGATTTGAGACAGCATCTATATACTATTAGACCGTGATGATCATAAACATCACTATCATCCGAAAGGTTTGACGTCGCACGCGTTGTTCAGGGTTGCGACTTTCGAGGTCCGACTTCGGCGACACTACGAATGCCTGTGTGTTTGCAACGGCCGCAGGCAATCACGGAGATCAGTATACAATCCCACTCTGGGCATGCAATGTCGGTCTGCCGCACAGGCCCCTTCTGTCGAACGGTGTATAGGGAACCCTATAAACCCTAAACCCTCTAAATCCTGAACCCAATAAACCCTAAACAGGGCTTTAGGGATCTATGGCTCAGGGCTTAGGGGGGCTATGGTCTAGGAATCAGACCTGTAAGGTTGAGCCGGCAAATAAACCATTAAACCCCCAAAAAAAACCCTTGAATGCAAACCGGGAGCTTCTCAAGGAGCCTGCTCGCACGGCTTGAAATGCGTCCTCGAGATGAGCGACGAATGCTTGGATCATCACGTCAACCAGGCCTTCTCCTGGGCTTTTTAGAGCTGGGCCTGAACGGTTTAGGGTTTAGGGGTTTAGGTTTATAGGGTTTTCTTACCATATAGTCTCCATTGTAGTTTCTTTTTGGGGTTACCTTTCAGGATCCTACATATATATATATATATATATATGGTTAAACCAAAAAGGGAACGACAATGGAGACTATAGGTAGGCTTTATGAAGGCTTGCCCTCCGACAGCAATAGGCGCATCTCAGCCGCACTAGCCATTTGTCTCTCCGCCTGTTTTTCCCCGAATTTCTGTTCACTCTGTTTGCGTGTCTCCCTCCCTGCCGCAGTCTCGGCAATATTCCGCAATGATTTGCTTTTCTCGCTCTCGCTCTCTCTCCCTTCCTCCTTCCCTCCCTCGTTTGCTGTCCCTCACTCACGCAGCTGCAACATGGAGCTGGCGACGCACAAATAATTAAGCAGACAGCACACTGCAACTCACTCCATGGTCCAACAAGACTTGCCGAGCTGTCTCTTAGACCGAGAAAGTTTAACTTTTTATAAGGATTTCCTATGACATAGATGCAAATCGGCGCGCCACTCCTTTTTTACAGCCGCCTGACACTTGAGAGCTTCGCAAACAATCCGACGAGTGAAATCTGATGAGGAGAGGTCGCCTCTTCCTCACAGACCACTTCAAAAGTCAACCTCGGATGTTTGGGTGACTCTGGAAATGGCGTGTCAGACAAAACATGCAAGCCCTTCTTCGACGGTCTTGACTCTGACACTGCAGTCAGAAGGGCCTTGCATTCCAAAGGGAATGCCCGGCGAAAGCTGGCACTGAGGTAGAAGTAAAAATGACTCTGCAAAGCTGTGCCGAAGCTGATGCACTGACCTTTGGTCATTTTCGTCCTCGCCCATTCCATGTCCGCCAGTCTGCACCCGTGAAGGCGAGCCAGAAGCCCGGTGCTGGCATACAAAGAAGACTCAAAAGCCCCGTCTGCCACCAAGATCACATCGCTCATGGAAGCAGCTTCGACAAGTTGGTAACGATGCCAAACGGGAACTTTGACACTGGAGTTTGCGGGCCACACTTTCACCAATCGTCCCAGTACTGGCGCAGGGAGGGCGTCGATGGCTGCAGCAGGCGGTGGCTTCTGCCGATACACTCCTCCCTGACCGTCCATGTAAGGAACAACCTCTCCAGGTTGAAGGGATTTGACAACTTGAATCTGCTTCTCCTGGACTTTCTGAGCATTCTCCAAGACTTGCTCCGTGCGCGTTCTTTTCCTTAAGTTTCATGAGGAACACCCGGAAAGATCGGTTGTTATTATTATCGACAAGAGCGACACATAACAAGTTAACTGCTCATGCAGGGAAGCCTCGAGGAGGAGCTTTGACCCTGAGGCTCTTGAGCAACAGTTGGCTCTGACTTTCGCTTTGTGGAAGTCCGTGCTGCTGCCACGTCTGCCAGAGCATCGACGACCGAGTCAAGGTCACTGTGATGACTCTGACCTTTGGCGACGATGTCCTGGATGGCCTTCGTGTGCTTTTGACGCTCCCCTTCCAAGGTCACTTGGGCCTCAGAGGTGGGCTTCTGCACACGACCCAGCGGCGGCGGAGCACTAGAGCGGGTAGCCGCGCGGTCCAAAGCTCGTGACGCCAGCTGCCTATCCCCGAAGAACTCGCGATAGGCTTGCTGAGCATGGACTGCAAACTTTGACGCTCGATATTGCACGTTTTTCTCCGATGACGCTGCCGGGCCGAGCACGAGTTCATCCGTATTGAAAGAGCCTCCAAGTCGGCGTCCTTGGAAAGTCTGTGTGTTAAGCTTCAAGGACGACTCCAATATCTCGTTCCCGAGCGCACGGGCACGATGCTTGAGCTCAATGAGGCGTACTTCTCCGATAAAACGCTCCACGTTTTGAGTCCCGGTGAGGATCGCAAGCGATTTCTGGATGACCCTGACCGCCAAAGGACGAGCAGACCGTTGCCGTGGATCCAAGCTTTGCAAGGTCTGCATCCATGCCACGGTGGTGTTCCCGAACCGTTGCCTCAGGGCACCCACTGACTCTGACTTGTTCTTGGCCAGTGGGTTGTCGAAGTACTGCATGGCCCGGGCGAAGAGGCCCATGGATGGACCTTTGCCGTCCACTTTTCCAACCAGCTGCTTCCTTCGCAAACGAATCTTCAAGACAGTCACATCCCACGCTATTTATTGCTTAGGGTTTAGGGTTTAGGGGGATACAAACAATCGGTGTTGTGATGTTAGTGAACTAGGATCCCTTTAAATCTTTAAAGGTGATGGTCTAAACCTACCAGGGCACCAGAGCTCATCTGCCGACATGCTCTCAGTGAGGGCAATGGTTCCCAGCATGACTCTGCGTTGAGTTGAGGCCAACTCAGCACCCCATCCAAACGAAACAACGCGAATGCATTCACCTCCTCATAGTTTGGGAACTGTGTGGCAAAGAATGCTTGAAACAAGCTGTAGATCTGCTCTGTGATTGGCCGAAGGTCCTCCACCTGACCCTGAGGAATTGCAAAAGGAACCTCTGAACGACCCTGTAGGTAAGTCAGATGGCCGAGTCTAGCCAAGTTCTTCAAGGTCAAGGCCGTCAATGTGGCACCAGTGGCGTCATGAAGAATGGCTTGATCTTTGAAGAGAATCTTGACCTCACGCAGAACATCCTGCACCTGTCACGGAACACTCTGAATCTGAATATGACCCTGTAATTATTCAGCCCTGCTTTTTCAACATGCGCCTCAGTGGCCTTGAAATACACTTCGGTCGCGGCCTCATCATCCTTCCTGATAAATTTCTGGCTCAACATTAGTGCGTCGCCAGCCAACGCGGCAGTCATGATTCGCAGCCACGAACCGGGCCCTGACACTGCTGACAGCAGTTGGATGGCCCACTTGCAATCAGCTTGGTCACCCTTACGGGTCATCCTTACTCTCAGAGCACGAACACAATCAAAATAGGCACTGCAACGCGGCAACGCTCGACCTACACCCACTTGCCGAGGAGCTCAGTGAGAAATCGCAGTACATCTGGAAGCAAATGGAACAACTTGAAAAGGGGGTCTGACAATGAGTTGAAGCGCTGGAGCGCGAATGAAAAGCTTTTCAATGCCTTGGTGAATTTGACACCGTTGCTGATCTGGGTCTCCTGAAATATTTGGGAGTACTTGCTGGAGTTCCTTGGTTGACGCAAGCAAGATCAAGAGCAAAGGGTTCAAGACATGAACCATGCTGTTTGCAAGCCGAGCTTCTGCAACATTCTGCTGATAGATTGCTCGTCAGTTGTAAACAACCCAAGTAGTCCTTGACACTGCTCGCTCAGGGGACCCCATATGCCTTTTGTAATAGATCTGGCTCTGTGAGCGCGATCTCTGGAAACCATGGTCGCATTGTGAAAAAGGTCGCGCTGAAGAAAAGGAACTGCAGCTTGCTCGGATGGGCCACCGTCACACACCAGGCAAGTGATGATGGCCTGCAAAGACTAGCAGCAACTAGCTTTAACTCTGACGTGACACTGACAGATACTCCCGCGACATGATTGGTAACAAGCCTTCATGTGTTCGTAAAGGTCTGAATCCAGACTGTCCTCTGGACCAGAGGCCTTACCATCTTCGCGACGTCCTCTTCGAATCGTGCATGCATTTTCCAGAATGACTCTGATACTCTGGGCACTTGCTTGGGCGCCCGTACCAGTGACACGTACGGTACCTAAGATGGCTTCATATATGCCGGATCGTGGAAGATAAGAGTTGCCATTGAGATCCTGGTACCAGAAACGTCCAATAAGGAGCATCAGCCCGTCTCTGACATCGTAGGCGATTGAACCTATGACAGCCTGCCAGGGAAGACATGTCTTGGTGAGCCTTGACGCTGGAATCATGCGGGATTTGTCAGGGAGGTTCCTAGCATACTGATGGCTCGCGGGCCTTTCGGAACACGGCTTGATCTTGTTGGTAAAGTGGTCGCCCCAGAGCCAAAACTATTTTCTTTGCAGTTTGAGGCGACATGTCGGAGTGCGACCCTTGTTGCAGCACTGCACCTGACACTGATAGAGCCTTGACGTACTCGTGGTAATCAGTGAAAGAGTCTCTTCTGGCAATGACTTGTCCAGCCAACACAAACTTCTCTAATCGTGGGCACACGTCACTCTGACCGGTGACCTGCCCTGATGCGGGATCCTCTGGAGACTTTAGTTTGGCATCTAAGTCCTTCAGTGCGGCCAAATGGGAAGGCGACTGCGCATGCTTGCTGAAAGAGCTGGGCCCCATCGTTTCTTTCGTGTTGACACTGAGTCGCGAAAACGATGATGAGTACTTCTGCGGGTGATGGGCACAGACCCAACACCCGATCCCAAATCCACCAGGGAACACTTCTCACCCAACTCAGGGTGTCTGAAAGTGAATTCGTTGCGCCATGCCAGTGTCTCATTTTCCAAAGCCAGCGCAGACGTACCCCTCCGTAGTTGCCCACGAAAGCCATTTTCAAAAAAGCAGCGGGGACACTCAGCATCCTGACACTGCTTCCAGTGGTCCAGATCGGACTCATATGAACCTTGTGGCCCCCGACTTGGAGGAGGGATTGACACGGATAAACAAGATCGGCTGTCACGAGCCCAGCTGCTAGGCTCAGCCAAAGCTGCCACAGCATCATCATCACCCATGTCTGCAAAGATGCTGTTATGTTTAGAATGCCGGAGTGTATCTGAAAGCGAATGGATTCTTACACACCTACGGGTTTATGCGGATTAATGCTTGCGTCGGAATGGACGATGTCTTTTTTCAACAAAATTAGCAATGAGCCTGAATGGCTCATGGTCGGCCAATCTTCGGCAAACCTGGCAGTCAAGTTGCGACAGTCAATTGAACAACTGCTGCAGACTGTATGTTTCGCATTTTTTGACAGGCTGAGAGCACATGCCTAGGCAGTTCCTTGCCCACAAAGTTTAAAACGCAGCCCCTTCCGGACCCTGACCCTCTAGGCGAGGCTTTTAGCTTGCGATCTGGCTTCTACGAGTTGGAC